CTTAGCTTTCCTTAGACACGTAGTCGGTAACCCGTTTATTTTTTACAGTAATTTCAGGAGACTGGCATACCATGTCTTTAATATTTTGGAAACAATTACATATTTTGTGTCATTCCACGTTTCGAATCTTTGGAATTTTTCACTGAGTTTTACGTGAATTAGTTAATTTCGAAAACTCCCCCAATACGTTCAATAGGGACGAATATTGTTTTTATTTTCCAGGGCCGGTGCTCCCATAAACTAGTTTGCATACGTCATTCACATCCATCACCATCCTATTCCCGTCACTCTTCTAGTAAGAACATATTGTCCCTGTAGATGTAAGATCCATGAGTGAAACTAATTTCGGACGAATTTTGAAGATCCTTTTGAATTTAAATTTAATCGGGACTCGAGTATTGTTTGCAATAGGAGTAGAAAGGTGAGGCAATCTAAACTGCCAAGATAGGGGAGAATCGTTACTCCTGTTTGTTCTTTTAGCCTTTCTTATTGCCCAGTCCATGCAACAGTCTTCTGTACCAGGACATGATTTTATTTATTTCGATAACCCCGCTAATACGTTCAATATTTAGGAATATTTTTTCAGGAGCCACTGCTATCATAGGTTAGTAAACGTGCATTATTCAAGTCTATAACTATCGTATTTCAATCTAAATTGCCGAGATAGCGGAGAATCTTTACTTCTTTCTGTTCCTCTAGGCCTTCTAGATGCCCAGTCCATGCAACAGTCCTCTGGATCCGGACAAGGCAGCCGTTATTATCCAAAGAAAATGGAGAAGCTATATGGTAAAATAAATTCGGGGGATATACTCTCTCTTAGGATATTCTAGTCTTCAAGTACCTACAGAGACTTCTGGTCTACAGCAAAGAACTGGTTGCGGAGGACTTTCTGAAATATATCAATCCTCGCGAGGCCGCTTTGGCCGATACAGCTGCTGGGTTGGTGGTTCGCCTCCGCCTCAATGGGGTCAGATTTTGTGCTAACTTTGAATTATATTCAGTGCAACTGTTCGTATGTGACAACAAACATTACTGTAGGACCTTTGTACTGTCCTTGCAGGAAAGGTTTCCTCCCACAATATGCTACAAGATATTCACTTACAGGCCGGTGAAAGATCTGGGTATCACAAGTCCAAAGAACTACGCATTCAAGAAAAGAGATGGTGTCGCATACTGGAATAACCGAAATAGTTTCTCAATGAGTAGATGCCAACAGGAAACCTGTCATAAATTAACTCGAAAGCAAAACTGGTACAAGCGCGTTGATGGGAACGACTGGCGTCCGATAACAGACGAAATGCTGGTAGCCTTCGTGCCAAATCTCATTTTTCCAAACAGGAATAAGCTCACGGTGAGCACAAAACATGGCTGAATCTCAAGTTCTTAAGTTACTATCGTCAGTGGACTTTCACATCCATTCGACAAGATTCGTTTTTTTTTCAATTTTATGATGCCTCATTGACGAATATCAATTACAATTTGCACTCCAATGGCGTTTTTATATTGATTGAATCAAGGCCTCTTCGAAGACACCAACAAGATGTTAGGATCTATTCCCATTGACTTCACATGAAATTATTTTCTTAAATTATTTACCTTGTTTTTTGTTTCAGGTTCGCAAACCCCAGTTTAGGAAAGTTAGGCCAAATTATTCAACCAAAGCTGAAGGGAACAGCAAGTATGTGCCCTTAGCAACGAAGGTGGACTTCTATCCAGCGTTCTTGGACCTCCCGAAAAACGTGACTGCCCGCGAAGATGAACTAGAAGATGATGACTTAGTTGCTTGGACCCAGAAACTGGACTTTGACAAGTATATCCAGGAATTGGAAGGACTGGCTAAATTATAATGACAATCAAAGGGAAATAGTTAAAGATACTTATTTTGCAATAGATTTTCTTTCCATTTATCTCTGCTCCTATATCACTGACTTTAGTGACTTATGAGAAAGTCACTTTGTGCCCCGCTGGGGACGGTAATCCCCCTTGCTGAAGGGGTCGGTATACTTACCCTCAATTTACATGCGGAACAAAGTACTCCTAGCGGCCGCGGGAAGCAATTTCGACTACATGTTTTTACTTACTTCTAAAAATTTCCTTTTTTCTGCCTATCCTATGTTCCCACCCCCCAAAACTCTATAACCACCGTTTTTGCAGGACAAAATTCTGAGACTAGGGGTATATGAATGGGCCTACATAAGCTACTTCTGCCGACTGATAATAGACTCGATATCCAAATTGGGTGAGATAGAGGTGAACAATGAGATTTCTGATTGCTTTAGTAACCCTTAAACGAACTGTAGCGTAGATGCGCTGGATCAGGACACGACAGGTGTTATTCTGGATGTGCTCCCATTAGAAGTGCCGCACACAGGGCAGTGGGGGTGTGGTGGCACATGTAGGATAAAGGCGAGCTAGCCATGTGCACCCGAACCGATCCCCTTGACATTGTTTTGACAGATGGTGGGGAGAGAGAGAGAGAGAGCATGCACTGTAGATGCGATGCAAATGCACTTTCAGTAGAATATAATTCACGTGCAGGTCACCGTGCCTGCGCCATATTGCTCTGGTGCAGACAGCGAACCTCCTCGACCGAACTGTGGGCTACTTTATCCAGAAGTTGATCTACGACAAGCACGCTTATTAAGCATGACCACAACTAATAACATGCATTTATTTTCATCCCACAAAAACATGATGAGCATGTAAATTTGGTTGGAAACACGAATGCATTGTAACAAAACCACCTTGTTGAATGCTTATTTTTATCGCTGATCTAGGGGGCTTTACGCAGGCAGACGTAAGCCTGAATTAATATATAGTGAAACGGGACCCCTGCCTCACGTGTTTTTGTCCCACACCAGTGAACAAACGGCTACTGCAACCGTAAGCAGGGGTAGACGGTGCGATTAGCAAACATCAACAGACCACCTGCGCGTGCCACACACAAGCTGCTGCCAGGCTGTACTGATTGCCACAATTGCCTTGTCAATTGCGCGACAATTATACCCGCTATTGTCAGAGTCTTTGCTGCGCCCGGCCCTTCCCAAGTGACTGATTCTCTTACTCAGGAAACTTCTCAGTACACCGTATAGGAACGCCAAATCGTTGCGCTTGTTGATGGACTGAATGCCTGAGAACCATGAGTTGAGCAGCTCGTGGCTCACGACGTTGTCACCTCTTGCAAGGATTTTGGCCTCATAAAACTTGAAAATATGGCAGGGTCTCGTCA